CCAAAAATATATGGTAAATTTTTTCTACATGTGTAAACTTGATGAAGTGTTAACAAAAGCCCATTTTTGTTGTTTAGATTGTACAAAAACTGAACTAAATTGTTAAAAACAAAAAAAGACTCTTGGATTAGAAAAGAGGCCCCTATATTAAGGGGCTCTCCTCTCCCCATCCTACTGCACAACCCAAACTGCAAAAACATTTATGTAACAACAATATTAAAAAGATAAAAATGCTGAGCTGCATTATGCAGTACCTTTTTCCTTGAAATCAGTCGGTCCAAACCTTCTTAGATTCAGATTACAGCAGTGCATCTCGATCCCTCCAACAAAATTTCTGGCAGAATATTTAGTAATAATAATTATTACAAATTATACAAGAAAAACTACATACGCAAACCTAACTACATAATTTCATTCACAACTTAATAGTATCAAAATACTCTTACCCATATAACCATATACTCACTAACTGGCAGAAACAGAAGAATGAATTAAGAAAAAAAAATAGCTTGCTGCTAGAGGAGGAGAGAATAAACTTATATAATATCATGCAGTAACGCTTGCAAGAACATATATAGAGATCAAAACACTACTATTATGTATTCTTTGCTTCTTTTTCTGGCAAAGAAAGGTATAAAAGCATTTTTTTTTTTTTTTTTTGTGGGTGTTACATGCCGTTGATGCTTTGTACTATGGCTGGAGAAAGTGGAAGCGTACAGAACTAAAGCTTAAAGATTTAAGATTAATTTAAGATTCAAGATTCTGGGTTTTATTTCAATACTTAAAACATAGAAGAACTTTAAGCTTTTTCAACTATTTTTTTGCCTCTGTCTTTTGTATTCAATATCGATAATAACAAGTAGCAGTAATAAATCAAAAAGCAAGGGAGTGATAGAGGTTTTCAATAGCATCAGAAAAAGAGTTACCTAAAAAAATTTCAAAATCCCTAGTTGGGACTTCTTTTCTTCCCTCTCCTTCTTCCCCTCCCTTCTTCCTTATTCCCCTCACATGTTTAGAGAGCCATATAGCCCAGATTTGGACATATGGCTAGCCAAACAGCTAGCGAGCATGGTCCAGATCGGTCCTCTGGCTCTTCGTTAGCTGGCCTTGGTCTAGATCGGACCGATGAGTGTCCGTTGGCGTGCATTCACTCATTTCTGCCTCCTTTCTCTCTAATTCTCTCCCAATTTTCATAGATTTTGTCAGAAAAGCTCAAGAACAAAAATTAAGATATGGGTTTTGTTAAAAGAGGTGTCATTTTCATGTGGGTTTTCTTGCTGGGAGGATGAGAGACAAAAGAGGTAGAAAATTTAGGATTGAGGAAGAAGAAGGTCTAGAACTAAGCAGAAACACGGGTTTATAAGTTTATTTTTAATTCAAAAATGTGTTCCACTGTACATTATAAAATTCACTAAAAATATTTTTGGTGAAATTAATTTTTATATTACTTTATAATAAATATTTTAATAAATTAATAAATAAATTATATTTTTAATATATAAGCTGAATTGCAACACATAAATCTCTTTATTTAAAATTTTATGCATAAGTAAAATTTAACTAACAAGGTTTTTTTTTTAAAGAATTAATGGTAATTTAAATATTAAAATACTAATTTTAAGTACATTAGACAATACATTGTACAGTCCACATTGATAGATAAGCTTTTTTTTTT